TTGTTGACACGTTGACACTTCATCATCTTCAACCCAACGTTTTGCTAAACCTGTAAATTTAACAAAAAAAATTAATTGATAAAATATTCATAGTAGTCATAATAACGATAATAATAATCATATAACATATAGATAAATATAAATAAATAAATAAATAAATATAAATATATATATATATATATATACATACTAAAACGTGATTGATGTTTAATTCTTTCTTCGTCTGTGAATAATGATATTGGATTTGTATAAGATTGCCTACGAGACTATTTTATGTAAATATAAATATTGTTAACGAATGTGTGAAATGCGAACGTAATCGCACGCATGCATAAATATAAATAAATAAATAAATACCTGAGGTGGTGACAGACAGCGAAAAGGTATTAGATCAGAAGGGCCGAATTCATCAGAATTATAATCACTTTCTCTTGATTTAGATTTTTGTAAAATTATAGAGTCAATTGAATGGTTATTTAAATTGTGAACTTTTTTTATCCCATTCATATTGGCAGCAAGATCATTATTATCAGGATTCACAAGGGTGCTAATTGATGATTTGTTATGATGATGTGATTTAATATTAATATTTTTATTTTGATTGATATTTTTTTTTTGATCTTTGTGTTGACGATCTTTATGTTGATCTTCTTGACGATTTTTCATTAAAGAATTTTTACGTCTTTGATTTTCATTGATTAAACAATCCATTTTACCCTCCAAATCTTTCAATAAAAATTCCATCGAATTTATCATACCAGTTTGTCCCCCAGTTACAGCTTCACACTCTCTTATTTTTTCTAAATATTCTTTTTCTTTCTCTTCTAACAAAAGTTCAATGCTTTCTTTAACATTTATCAATGCCAAAAAATCTTTTTTATTTTTTTCTGTTTCCGATCGAAACAATTCCAGTTCTTCCGCTTGTTTAACACAAGTATTCATAATCAACTTATACTCGGGTGGCATTTCACTACTACTAATACTATTATTTCTACTACTAGTACTGTTGTTACTACATTCGTCAGATATTGAAGATGTTTCTGATGAAACAATAGATTTTTCATATGAAGAAGCAGCGATTGACGATTCCAAATTAAGTTTTTCCATTTTAGAATTTAATAAATCATTGTATATTTTTATATCTTTTGAGTTTAATTCCAAAGTTTTAGTAACTTCATTTTTTGTTTCCTCGTATTCTTTCTCAAGTTGCTTCTTTTCTTTTAACATTTC